CCACGAGATCATTCGCGACGTCGTACCGGAAGAACTATGAAACCTCCTGCCTACTGACAACCTGCCGGCTGCGCTGTCGATTGTCGAATTGCCCACAAGGAAGTCCAGTGGGCATTCCCACCGAAGGCTCTTGTCAGCGTAGCAGCACCCGAGGAGCCCACTCTGACCTACGACACAGTAGCTCGGACGTCAATAACAATATTTAGGTTAGGCGCCGTTGCCGGGGCGTCGTTGCAATATGTGACGTCGGGAGAGTGAAAGCGCTCCGGCGTTCTTGGAGGCTCTTTACTTCAGTCGTCTTTGGCAACGCCACCTAGATGCTGTGCCGAGCTTAGTTTACGCGGCAACGTAGTGGAGGCTGGGTCTCTTGGCGGGTTCGTGGAGCTGGTGACGCTAAACGTGTGGGCGATGGTGACAGGGATTCATGGTGGAGAGTCGGAGCTGAGGATGGCGAACGTCGAAGGTACTCCTCAGTGTCTCGAGGGCACTCGCCATACCTTGGGTGCTGGTCCTTCGGGTGGAACCCACGCAGCCCCAGTTGTGGGTAGGGGCATCGACGGTAAATGCAATCGGCCACACAATAGTGACAGCAGATGGGTGGACTATCCGCTGTCCTCCACACGTCGGTTTTCCTTGGGACCGGTTGTTCTCGGTGATGGCACTGTTGTCGTTCGTCGCGGCGTGGGCGGTACGCCTGCGTTGGTGAGTCCTGTCGTGGGGCCACTAGGTAATTTTGAGCAGTTGGCGGTAGTCGCCGGGCCACTCCGGCGCAGCTTAGCATCAGCAGTTTCGAAACAGCGCCGACGAGAACCTCTGGCTGTAGCGCTTGCTGAATTTCTCTGGCAATGTCGGTGATTTGGGGCAAAGCTGGGCTTGCGGCGTAAAGTAGAAGCTTCTTGATGTATTCCCGCACGACGTCCCAAATGATCTCACGGATGTCCGCGGTGTTTCAGCTGGAAAACGAAAGGGCAGTGACGCCTGGAAGTCGCTGGTATTGTCTGGCGCATGCTAGCAGGGCACGCTCTATATGTGTCGCCTCCGTGAGAAATACTTGGACGGTCATCGGTGGGTTGCGTGCGAGTTAACCAAAGATGTCGTCCTTCACGCCACTTATCAGAATACGCAGCTTGTTTTCCTTAGTGGCCTCAGGGTCGGCGCGGGAGCTCAGGCGAAGGATGTCTTCCAAAAAGCTGGTGACACTCTCATTGGGGCCCTGGGTCCTTGAGTGCAGCAGGTCTTCGGCCCTTTCTCTTCTGTGTTGACTGGCGAATGTACGCGGCAGCTCGTTCTTGCAAATGTCCCAAGAGGTCAACGAAGCTTCGTGGTTTTGGAACCAGCGCCTTGCGGTTCCTTCAAGTGAGAAATAGAGGTTTTGCAGGCGCTGATCGTTACTCCACCCGTTGTGCCTAGCAACGCGTTCATACTGGTTGATCCAGTCTTCGATATCATCGTAGATCTCGCCGAGGAAGGGAGTAGGTGTCCGCGGAGTGACGGGCGGGACGACGACGGGAAGGGTTGTCATTGTTGGGATTTTCTTTGGCTTCTGCGGCAAGGGTGCGAATTCTGGGAGTTGGCTTTCGGTATGGCGGCTTGCTCGGTCGTCAGCGTCTTCTGCGAAGGGTAGCCTTCCGGGGCTGAGCACCTCACTTGGCCGGGATGTCTATGGAGGGGTACGCTTCACGTGCATAGAATGCGACACCCCGCACCTTCACCAAAATGTCACGAATGGCCATTGATGAGGCAATGAAAACTGAAGCAAACTATATGTTTAATGGTGCTAAGTTGCGTCCAAAACAAAATAGACAAAGGATAACGTCACAGGTGTCGATGGCGGCGAGACAGCAAGATCGAACGCGGCAGCGTGACTGACTGCGTCTCGCCACGCAAAGCCCCTTATGTAGACGCGTTGGCTTGTGGAACAATCGGGGTAGAAAGTTCGGCGCGTAGAACATTAGGACCTAGAACAAGCAACAGGGTTCTCGAAGTTACCAGAACATTAAACTCAAATAATAAAGAAAAAAAGGAAACTCCCAGGAATCGAAGCCTGGGCTTCCACACGAAAGGCAAGCGCGGTAATCACTCGGCGACGGACGGGCTCGCTCGTCGACGCGCGTGGGAATATCTCATAAGATACGGTCAGAAAATTTTCCAAAGAAGTCATTCAAAGTGTAATATTCGAGACAATTTTCTTATAAAACACACGTAACGTAACAAACAACTAATTTTATTCAGAATAACTTATCTGCACCGTACATTGTTTTTAAAAACTAATGGACATCTTCTTCTCAGTTTTAAACTAGCGTACACAAAATCTTCACGTAAAGAAAAAATAGCGTTTTCGCCATGCGTCAATCCGAAACGCGGTCTCAGATCGGCGCAGGGGCCGTGGCGCCGACACTAAATTTTGTGCACGCAAATCTTTTGGGTACGTTATTATAAATCTCCTAATGATATTACTTAGCTGACTTAGTACAAGCATGAACACACCGGCGGTGAGTGGAAATACGAGTGTCCACCTATTCGGGATACAAAATTTTATGTGTGAAAAGTTTTGTTTGGGTTAACTTTTTGTATTTATTTACACTGAAAATAAATAAATTAAATATAAAATATTAATTTAAATATGCCGTAAAGGCACCTCTTGCTGCTTTTTTAAAGTACCATCAACGACTTATTTTTCGGAGGCTCAATACTTCGCAATTAGGTCAAAGCTGAAGTTTTGGAACAATTCGCGGGTTCTAATTTTCTACACGCGGTGGCATGTCAATATAAATTCCAATATGTTTACATTTTACCATAATTGTTCATGGGACCTACTTTTCACGATTTGTAGGCGATTTGCGGAATTTGCGAAAATTGGGTCCTCGCGAAAATTAAGTCGTTTAAAGTAGATTTTTCAAAATCTTCACATATTGAAATTATTACCTAGAAAAAGGTGCTTAATGTGCAACGAAAATAGATTGAACCACGTACAAGAACGCAGCGGAGGGAGAGAGACGGGGGAACGGGCCAGTTTGTACAACATTTCCTAGAGTAGGTAGGCCTCAGCTCTCTTTCTGAATTGCTGAAATAGTTCATCGGGAGCACGGAAGAGAACGCGACGCGCGGTGGTTTAACATCATAGCAACGAGTTATTAATTATGCAAGCCTGTTAGTTTCTTTAACTGCCAACTGTGGGCAACATTTGTGTTAAGAAGTTGATTTTCTAAAACTCGTCAAATATTTTTGCATGAAATTTTTTATTCGAAATTGAACAACAAGGTACATTTATATCAAATTCTCGATCTGGAACGAGTTTACTTCGAGGCACGTAATTGTGAATGATGTATTTATCCTCAGAAGCTAGATTATTTATCAAGAATACTTGCCAAACATTTAATGACAAAAATATTTATTAAAAACGGCATTGCACATCACATTACCACACTGTTGATGTAGTAAACACATGTAAAACGAATGCTTTTGACCAAAAGACTGAACGGAGTATTGAAAAACATAATTAGTGCTATGGTGTTCCTTTTGGTGCAGAGTTGTTATTTGTCGAAGGAGTTTATACGGGTTTTCAATTTATTCTATAGGAGACGTTGCCCTTTCTTGCAGCTAAAATTACCTGAAATCTTGTCATATATCTTCGAAGTCAAGGTTTGGAGAAAGACATATGACAGCCATTTCAAGGTTGTCATATATCTTCCAATAAAAGTTTTTGAGCGTACACCTCAAAATCGGCGGGATATATCTTTATAGTCCTGCCACAGAGTATGAAGATTTCTGATTAGCCAGCAATGTAGTCATTAAAACTGGGCTGTAGATATATTAATGTTGCAGATGTATTATTTTCGCTAGCTATACGCAAGTCACATCACATCAATTTATTCTGTCTGGTAGCAATCCGTTTCACGAAGAGTCTAAACATTTCTTCTGGTACAAAACATAGTCCGGTGGCAACTTCTTTCAAGTCAGTCTGGGCAGCAATTCAACCTCAAACATCAATGCTCTTTTTGCATACAAGCAGTTCAGAAAGCTTCTTGTGAAGAGCTACTGTCATCGGGACTAAAAATTGAGTTAAAGTTTCTGTATATCTCACTTATTAATTCTGCGAATAAAACCCTGTGTATCCCTGCAGAACATTCCTTACACATCACGTGCATGGCAAGTTGATTTCGTAATGCAGCCCAAACATAAGAGTTGAAAGACAGCACAAAAGTTTTGACTGAAATATAATACATATCCTGAAACCTGCACAATCCGGTGTCCATCTTCACAAACGTCGAGAAGTCATTGTTGATGATTTGATCCACCCTAAGAACTACGTTGTACCATGTTCTCACACAAAATGTTCACAGTAAAACCACTTATTTTATGGTACAGGTTGAGTTGTGTATCAATTTAAACAGGCGTTGAACTCATAAAAACTTCTAGCCGATTAGTATTTCGCCTGTAAGATCTATATTGGGATGGGCAAGAGTTGGTAATTATTTACTTGACTGTCAGAGCTCCAGGCTTTCTTGTCCTTGATTTCCGTTGGCGTAAACACTCTTGTCCCTTAATTTCGGCAGAAATGTTTCTGGTAGATGTTAGTGTCGTACCACAGTACGTATTCAAGGATACGCTCGGTTGTGTGACCGTCCTCGCATGTGTCGAAGTCAGATGTGTCGTCACTGGCTAGGAGTACCGCAGTGATATCTGCGACGACGTGCCTTTGGTGCGGCATCCGCAAGAGCTCTGACGGCTTCGAGAGTTCTGTCACACTGAGGCAGCTGTTTGCGACCGTAACAACCGCAAACAGGGTGGGTTGTACAAGCCATCTGTTAAAAATTAAGGTTTAACCGATCTTTCCTAGCGCGCGGGCATGGGAGCGGGAAGGAGAAAAGAGGAAGTTGAAGTAAATCGTTCACCAGAGCTGGGTTGTCCTGTTCCTTTCTCTACGAGCGCCCTCAAGGCGCAACATTTTGGTGCCGAAACCCGGGAGTTGAACAAAGTTGGACGCCGCATTGGTGAATATGAATCGACTAAAGAAGAAACGAGCGGTTCGGCGCAGCCGGAACATCAAGCTCGTAAATGAGATACGACCTGCGCTAGAGTCGGACCCTATGGACTCCAAGACACTTGAAAGTTTGCGTAACAGACTGCTCGCTAGCAACGAAGAGCTTCGGAAGGTCACTGAGGAGATAGAGCCCCTCATCGACGACAACGACTTGGAGGAGGACTACAACACCGTGGCTGACTTCGAGGACGAGGTCGCAAGGATTATCAGTGAGGTTCGAGCCCAGACGACACCGCAACCGCCACGCTCCGGAGGCAACAAAGACAACAGCTCCTACTTGACTGGAATCAAGCTCCCGAAACTACAACTGCTGCAGTTCCAAGGTGAGCTTACAGAATGGCAACCATTTTGGGAGCAATTCGACGTCGCGGTACACCGCAACACAAGTCTTTCTGAGCCGGAGAAGTTCCAGTACTTGCGCTCACTTCTCGTTGGACCAGCAGCCAGCATGATTTCTGGACTACAAGCCACTGCGGCATGTTACCAAGATGCGGTAGAGATGCTGACTGAGCGGTTCGGTGATAAACAACGAATCGAACGCGAATATCTGGGAAGACTGCGTAGGCTACCAGCTGTGAAGTCTGAGCGTGACGTACAGGGACTACGGAACGTCTACGATCACGTGCAAACAAACATCCGTGGCTTGCGTTCCCTGGGTATTTCGAGTGATACATACGCAACTATGCTGGTTGATATACTTCTGAACAGCTTGCCATCACACATCGTAGTGGAGTACTACCGCATCAAGAGCTATATGCCACAACTGGCTCCTCCTACTCTCCCCGAACAGACTGCAGCCACTTCCAGTAATGTGACGCGTTGTGAGACTATGGTTGATACATCGAGGAATACGGGAGAAGAGCTGGCTAAGCTGCTACAATTTCTACGGGTGGAAATCAAGAGCCGCGAGCGATCCTCACGTGACGAGCGTCCATCGGCGAATCTTTCACCATGGGCTTCGAGACCTCGACAGGCTATCTCGATTCCTTCAACAATGGTGCTGCAAAACTCAAGTCATCTAGAGGAGGCTTGTTTCTTCTGTGGAAAGGAGGATCATGCTGCCAGCACATGTTCTTCCGGGAGCTCCTTAGATGAGAAGAAAAGGCGCCTTGCACAGGACAGCCGATGTTTCCGATGCACGAAAAGAGGCCATCACTCTAAGGATTGTCGCACCAAGGCTCGATGTACCACGTGCAGCGGGAGACATGCCGTCTCTATGTGCAACCCAGAGTGGCGGTCAAACTCAGCTCATCGGGGAGCTACGGCCAAGAGCGGAGAGGCCACCGACGTCTTAACGGCAGGTTCCACATCTTCACCTGGCGGCAACGGCGTTCTCCTGCAGACTTTCAGGGGCTGGATTGTGACTGACAAGAAACCTGCATACATCCGCAGCATCGTAGATGGTGGAAGCCAGAAAACATTCATCCGAGAAGATGTGGCCACAAAGTTTCAACTGGACACTATAGGGCACCTCGACTTGAAATTTAACACTTTCGCAAGCACAGAAACTAACATTCCCAGCCAACACTTAAAGGTCGTGAGTCTCCATCTGCGAAGCCAGTACGCTACGGCGAGCCATATATTGGAGGCCGTGGTTGTCCCGTTCATATGTCAGGAGCTTGCAGAAACACCGGTCGACCACTCGTTCATACGAACCATCTCAGGCGAGCTCGCGGACAAGTTGATGTTCCCCTCAGTGAAATCAGAAGCTGGTATAAGCCTTCTGATAGGGGCTGGCCAGATGTGGCGACTTCTCACGGGAGAGATCCGACGTGCTGAAATTGCCACCGAGCTGGTGACCATTTCAACTGTGCTAGGATGGACCTTCCAAGGGCCTACCAGCGCAGCGCAGGTGCTATCATGTTCTATGAATGCGGTTGTGTGTGCTCTCAGCGTTAGGGCTAGTCACGAAGATGATTCCATCGCTTTGCAAAAGTTTTGGGAATTAGACAGCCTTGGCATCGTGGACGAGCCAACGACGACAATGCAGGACCATAAAAACGTAATCGAACACTTCAACGAAAACATCACGATGAAAGGAGGGCGCTATCAAGTCGCTCTCCCCTGGAAGGGCCCCTCACCAGTCTTGGAAAACAACTATGATGTAGCCCACAAAAGACTACACAGCCTGATCAGACAACTGAAGCGGGATGGCACCGTTACAGAGTACGACGAGGCAATTAGACGCTATATGGTGGATGGGCATGCAGAAAGAGTGGAAGAGGACAGCCAGAACAGTGGACCCGTCTACTACATGCCTCATCGAGCAGTGGTTCGAGCGGACTCAGTGACAACGAAGCTTCGAGTCGTCTTCGACGCCTCAGCTCACGGACCAAACACTAGATCCCTGAACGACCACCTTGAGACGGGCCCGAAGATGAACATGGAACTCCTGCCAGTGCTGCTCCGGTTCCGAATGCAAAAAGTGGCGGTCACTGCCGACATACAGAAGGCCTTCCTGCAGATAGCCATCGCAAAAGCAGACAGGGATGCCCTTCGCTTCCTGTGGTTTTCCAGCGCACCTCGACCGCACGAGCCACTGCCTGTCATAGAGGAATGGCGAATGACAAGAGTACCCTTTGGGACTACTGCGAGTCCATTTCTACTTGCAGCGACCCTACGCCATCACCTGGAATCTGCGAGAGACCAGAGAAAACCCATCGCAGATACTCTACTTCACTCGTCCCTCCAGCTGGCACCACTGTCCTGGTAGCATGAATCCGGCTGACTTGATAACTAGAGGAAAGACCGCGAGGCAGCTCAGTGTTCACGATGAATGGTGGTTCGGACGAGATTGGCTTAGGCGTGACCTGGAAGACTGGCCTCCTGCGGCGTCTCCAGCCAATGGTCTGCCAAGCGAGATCGAAGCGGAAAGACGACATAAAGTGAATGTCTTGCTCAACGATGCAAGTGTACCTAACCCGCTTCTGACTTTGGAGAACTTTGGAAGCTACACGAGGATGCTGCGGGTCACGGCTTGGGTCCTGCGCTTCGTCCAAAATTGACGACTACCGACAGAGTCAACGGAGCTCTCATTGTCGGCAGCGGAAATTCGAGACGCAGAGCACTTGTGGATCAAACATGCTCAGCATGAATGCTTTGATGCTGAGATTCGTGCCCTCTCCCGAAGTGAAGAAATCTCGGCGAGATCAAAGATAAAGGATCTACAACCTTTCATTGACGAGACTGGCGTTATGCGGATCCGGGGTTGATTACAGCACGCCTTACTTCCAGAGGGTGCCAGGCATCCCATTATTCTACCGAGAGATCATCACCTGAGTAAGCTAGTAGCCGCCTCAGCCCATCAGCGCACCTTGCATGGAGGCGTTCAGGCGACGATGACGGAGTTACGTGAGAGGTTTTGGCTGCTCAGCGCCCGGAGAACGGTAACGGCGGTGATCAGCCAGTGTCGAGTATGCCGACGCTTTTCTGCACAGCCAAGTGCACCAGTCGCACCGCTACCGCGGGACAGAGTCCACGAGGGTCAGCCATTCCAAGTCGTAGGAGTCGATTTTGCGGGACCTTTGTTCGTCAAGAACGACGGTGACGACGGAAAGGCGTACATTGCCCTTTTCACTTGCGCAACCACTCGAGCTGTACACCTAGAGCTCGTCTCTTCCGTAGCCACGACACCCTGGCTTCTGGCCCTTCGACGCTTTGTGGCTCGTAAAGGAATACCGAGCACGATTTACAGTGATAATGCTCTTACGTTCAAAAGGGCTGCGAAAGACTTGAGGGCTGTGTGGGAAATGATGCGCAACCCAGTTTTGCAGGATTACTGCAGCTCTCAGCGAATCACGCGGAAGTTCATCGTGGAGAGAGCGGCATGGTGGGGCGGTTGGTGGGAACGACTGGTGCGTTCGGTAAAGGTCTGCCTCCGAAAGGTTCTTGGACGGCAGAGCCTATCGTTCGAGGAGCTGACGACTATCTTGGTTTACGTTGAGGCTACCGTAAACTCGCGGCCCTTGACATACCTCCACGTAGATCCTGGCGAGCCGGGAGCCTTGACGCCGGCACATTTGCTCATCGGGAGAAGACTGACCACTCTACCCGAGGTGGAACCGCCCCAGGCGTCATCTAAGGAAACCCTTTCCCGCCGCTGGAAATATCGGCAGCGCCTCATGGACCAATTCTGGAAACGTTGGAAGCAAGAATATCTCCAAGGGCTTCGCTCAGCACATCTCGCACGACCCGCTGACAACTGTACACCGAAAGTTGGGGACGCAGTTTTGCTGCACGATGACAACACCCCGCGTCACCTGTGGAGAACCGTCCGCGTGATCGAGGTCTTTCACGGTAGCGACGGCCACGTGCGATCCTGCGCGATCAGGTTACCCTCGGGTACATGCACACGAAGGCCCGTGCAGCTGCTCTACCCATTGGAGACCTGGTGATCAAATGAGCGGCTTGCTCATTTGGGGGGGGGGGGGGGGGGGGGAGTGTGTTGCGCCTTGAGGGCGCAACACACTCCCCCCCTCAAGGCGCAATGTTGCGCCTTGACGGCGCTCGTAGCGGAAAGGAACAGGACGACCCAGCTCTGGTGAACGATTTACTTCAACTTCCTCTTTTCTCCTTCCCGCTCCCATGCCCGCGCGCTAGGAAAGATCGGTTAAACCTTAATTTTCAACACCATGCTTTGTCAAGTGCCATCACAAGATCATAGTGATTTTCCGGGACGGAAACTGATAATGCTTTCTCTGTTTTCAACGCGGCTCTGCATTTGTCGCACTTCAGCTTCTTCAGCGTGAGATGGACCGCAAATCCTACCACGTAGACCAAGTCAGGCAGGACATCTTTTACCTTCGTGAGCGCTTCTTCAGACACTACTACGTTGCGACGGGGCCGTGGAGAATCTGTGCGTTTGTAAAGATCTTCACATTGCTGGTTTCGTCACTGCCTCCTTCAGAAGCTGTAGCAATCTTCGGCATTGTGACTTGGAGGCGCAGTTTGTGTTCCGCTTCAAATGCCTGCCAAGTCGAGACATGATATTGGGCACCAGCCAGTTTTCTGTATTTTGTAAAACCTGCTTCTAATCTGTCAGTCTGCATCTTCTCTAGGACGACGTAGGACAGCTCGTGTTTATCAAACCAGAATGTGGTAACCTCAAAGAGTGCCCGAGTTGTTTGATGGAGAGCACCATGGGTGTCACTTGTGAGCTTGCCGTCATCAAGACCCTTTCTTCTCCAGGCGTCCAGCGTCTAAGAACTTCTGCATGAACTCCACCTTCAGATTGTTCCCTAGTAGAACTCTGGTTCTTAAAATGCGTCCCTTTTTGCAATTCGTTTTTATTTAGCCTTTAACATTTACAATCTTCCACCATTTGAGTGTAATTTCGACGAAAGTTGCTGTTTGCTCACTGTGTGGAAGGTCCGAATGGAATCCCACGAAATGAAGTGCATGAGGCAGGGACTCATGGAAGATCTATAGAGCAAGTCTCACGTCCTATCGTTCGAGGCTCGATGGATTAAAAGCATTCCTTTAAACACTGTGGCCGTAGCGCAGGACCTGTTCGCAATTCAAGTTGCAACCCTCCCCGATGGTTTCAAAAGAAGCCTGCAGCATGAGCACCCCTGTCGGCTTCTCAAACTCAAGAATGTAAAAGCAAAGGCGGTCATTCGTTTGCTTGAGCCAATTGTTCCAAATGCACTTGACGATGTGTGCACAGTGACTTACAAAGAACAGCGCCCGTCAGGGTCAAGGGGGGCGTGGATAGCAAACTTGAGGTTTCCCTAGGGGAGAGGAGGTCATAAAATAGGACATTACTTTTTTTTTGATGGAGCCATTGTCACCGACGACAGACATATCCCGGTAGCCAATCTTCTCCACCTGACTTATCACGTGTCTTAGGAACGTGCGTAGAAACTTAGCGTCCACTATATGCACGTAGACAATGTGGGCTACTTCCATGAACTTGCACGTGGGGTATTGAACCATGAATACCAGCGCGCTGTTGGCCGGACTGTAGAATTGAACGCCGCACCGGTGATACTTCCGCATTAAGGATCAGAAAAGTAATTGTGGGATGATATGCATCGAACAAGGTTAAACCCTTTCTTGATAACCAGCGATCGCTTTGGCACGCGCGGTATGTAAGTTGCCAATGACATAGCAGGCGCTTACAGCGTGCACTCTACAAGCCACCTCAAATAACACAATAAACGCATTCTTAATTCCTCGCGCAGCCTGGTTTAGTGTCAATCATTACATTCGCGACGAAGGAAAAGAAGCAGCGGAGTGCGGTGCGGCCGTGGGAATTTGTCGATTCGTGATTGAATCCGCGAGTTTGATTTTGGAAATGGTTCTTTTTGGGAAAATGTGGAACGTGTGGAATTATGTTGTGCAGCAAACAGACTGATAACCAATGCCGACAAGAGGACACCACTGCTGAGTGCCTGTGGCCAAGAGATCTGTTCGTTGATATCAATGCTCGTCAAACTGCTTCTGCCTGCGAATGTGGATTACCGGACCACCGTCGACGCCGCTAAGAACCACGTCAGACCACGTCAAACGCAGGCCATAACTGTGCGCAAGGTACGTCTTTTCAAAGCGAGAGCAACATCACAAAGAAACACTTGCGAGCTGCATTACGGAAGTTCCTAAATTGGCAGAAAATTATGGGTTCGGCGAAAACCCTTTTTTACATATCATTATGCTGCACGACAAATAGCTTCTTGGAATGGCTCAAGTTGTAGTTCTCCAACGTTTACTTACAGAAAAATATTGACCGTTGAGGCTGCATATGAATTGGCGGTGACGAAAGAAATCACAGGAAAACAACGGGATTAAAGGAATAAAAAGAGGAGCGAAGAAGAAAGTAAAATAAACGTGACCACTCGATTCGGTTCGCCAAGGAAGAACAGAAGCCGGTTAAAAAAGACAGATGACACGTGTTGCTGTCATCGCTGCCGGGGTTATCGTGACCCAGATTCGTGGAGGTTCTGGAACGCGATTAGCTTCGCTTGCTCAAGAAGGGGACACATAGCAAGATTGTGCAAGGCAAAGGGCAACATACAATCCATTCATCAAGTAGAGCACTGTTCAACCGTTGAAGCGTTCTCTATGCATGACTATAATAAAGACGGTGCAAATACTTGGCGAAAACATGACAATGAAAGCTGACCCTGCTGCTGCACACTCGATCATTTGCGAAAAAAAATTCAAGAATTTGAAGGCGCATCAAAAAGTAGTTTTCGAAGCTCCGGACACGCAGCTAGTCACGAGGACCAGATAAGGCATCAAGGTATTAGGGAAAGCCATGTTGCCGGTCGGGGCAAAAGGGACGACTTTAATTTTACCATTGCTGGTAGTCGCGAACAAGGCAAGCAGAGTGATGGGCCCAGATTGATTTGCGGCACTGGAAATTCAAGTGGTGGGCCTGCACGGAAGCGCCAACACCAAATATATTAGTGTTCCCAGACTCCCAGACGTCTTCGGAGAGTTTTTTAAGGAGCTTCAAAACCACCAAGTGGCATCGACCTGAAGGAAAGTGCACAGCAAAGGTTTCTGAAATGCCGAAGCGTACCTTATGCTTTCGAGGGTTACGCGTGTGCCGATCTGGGCACGCTGCAAGACCAAAGGTTCCTTGAACCCACACAGTTGGCCGGCTTGGCCACTCCTATAGTCGTGGTGCGAAAGAGGAACGGAACCTAACGGGTTTTCGGGAATTATAGAAGTACAGTCAAGCAAGCTGTGAGGAAAAACGTTTATTCGTTGCCGACTTCAACCGAACTTTTCACTGGGCGGGTAAATGGTCGCGTGTTTGCCAAACTGGATTCAACACGAGCTTATGAACAGCTACTGCATGATGATGCGGCAGCTGAGCTAGCCACGATCAACGCAGTAAAGGGGCTCTACACGTTTTGGCGGTTGCCCTTCGGATAGTCCTGTTGCTTTAGGACTGTTCCAGGGAACCATGGACAGGGTGCTGGCTGGCGTCTCGCAGGTGGCAGTCTATTTACATGACTTCTTCATCGCTAGCGAGACGGCAGAAGACACACGACAAATT